GTTCGCTGGATCCATCTTCATCGGAGCTCGCGCCTCCTGGCGCCGCTTTTCTTCCTCCTTTCGCCGGCGGCGCTCCTCGTCCTTTCTGCGCTTCTCCTCCTGGGCATGGTTTAAAGTTATTCTTGTAGCATGGCAGTGAGAAGAAACACACCATGTTGGTTTTCCAGGACTAGCTAAGGTCCATCTCGTAGTGTTGAAACTGTTGAAACCCTGAAAAATAAGCAAAGAACGTTTTGCATATGCTACCACTCTAGTAGATCACATCTATTTTGTCATGTATGTGCTAGAAACATGTGTCATGTACATCCGGCTCCACTGGGTGGTGCGCGCTCCAAGACTTGATTGACATCAGCTTCTCTGTGGACTCTCCAAATTGCAAAAAAAGGAAACATTTTAACACAAACACCTTCCATCGCGCGTTGAGGTTTTTGTAGGCACCACGAGTTTGCATTTGCTAGAAACTATATATACACATCATACTCGTGTGTGTGTGTGCGTGTGTTTGTTTGTGTGGATGCATGGGCCTTCTTTCGCTCTTCCTCTTCATCTGGCGGCGGGGGAGCCTGCGGCGCTGCAGGCTCCTCTGCCGCGGCAGCAGCAGCAGCTGCCTCCGCTTCCTGGTGGCGCAACCGTCACTCTCCAGTGGTGTTTGTTGATTTTGTTGCTACAAAACAAGCTCCCATCTGAGAGCGATGGCCTCCATCCTAATAGCGGGAAGGACAAAAAGAATGTCCAAATTTCCAAGTGCATGTTGTTTTCTTGCGGACCAGCGGTGCCCGGACAAGCCTTGCATCGTTTGCGGTGGGAGTTTTCTGAGCCAAAGCCGAAGCCTTTTTGGGCCTGTGGTTCAGGAAGCAACTCCGGTAGCTTTCATCAGGGTCACCCATTTAAAGCATCCTGTTGAGTGAGCTTTCTTCAGACGCTTTCCCCAAGACTTCTTTGATGGTAATCTCCAGCCAGGCTTGTCCTTCAAAAAAGGCTTGGTAATGCATCTAACCTGCAACTGGAGGAATGAGAGGGATCTCTGCGAATCATGCCCAGTCATCAACAGGTCTTCAGCCATACCCCACAAATCCTTTTGTCTGGGGCACCCAAGTTCCCAAGCGTCTCTACAACAACCTCTTCGACGGGTGAAGAGGACAGGGAGCTGCTTCGTCCATTCGAACAAGAGGGGGCTTGCTTGTTACTGGGCCGAGACCTATCTTTGAGGCTTCCCCATGTCAAACCAATGATTCGAAAGCACTGTGGAGGACACAAACTGATGTCTGCCCTGCCTGGCGCTTCTTCTCCTCTTCCCGTTTCTTCCTCCTTTCTTCCTTCTTCTTGGCTTCCTCATCAGCAGGAGCGGCTTCAGCTTCTGCAGGTGGTGGAGGAGGAGCGGCTGCTCCTTCTTCCTTGGGTTTCTTTTTCTTCTCCTCACTCAGTGACTGACTGGCAAATAACAGTGAACCAATGTTGAAGGTCCTGGTGGTGATGGGCGGAATTCAAATCAAAGGTTCCATGTCGGAGTGGTTTTTGGAAGGCCCTGGAAGCACAGCCCCATTCCCCACCAGATGGGTCTATAAGAATTTGCCAAAAGAGTGGCTTTGCACAGTCGCTCCAATCAGCTCCTTCGACGCTCCAATCAGCTCCCCGCTTTGGACCCGTGCCACTGCTGCATCGGACTTCTCTCCAGCGCAGGTGGTCGCTGCTGCATGCAGCCTCTGTAGCCACGCGTTGGTCTTCTCCGGCTCTAGACCGGCCACAATTTTGTTGGCCTTGCTTTGCACAACTCGGTCCTTCTGACCAGATTCTCAAAAGGCTCCGGCCTCTTGAGAGACTACCACTGCAAGACTCGGCTTAGAGTTCCAGAACAGCTTGCACATGTTAAACATCTCCTAATATAGTATTGATCAACCGTGCAACTTTGTCTGAGACTCGCCCTTGGCTCAATATATAGGGCCGGGCATTTCCCACAATGAGGGTCGTCCCCTTGGGAGCACTCCAGCCTACAGTCGGTCACACAAAACGACAAATACATATAAGTCAACAACAGAAACAATGGGTGGGTGGGGTGAGTGCAAAGGAGGCCTTTCCCCTTCTGCCACGTGGCTGAGACATCAATCGTCTCCCCCAGCGCGAAGCATGTGACGCTGATGGCTTTGTTGAGGAAGTCCAGCTTAGCCGTCTTATCCTCGGTGACATGGTTTGCACTTGTAGTCCGAAAACACAGTACTCCTGGTGAAGATCACAAGAAGTAAACTCAATTTAGCTCGATATCTTGCTATCATATATTAATAAATATAGAGAGAGAATCCTCTGTGGAATTACCGGTGAATGTCGGGAATTAAATTCTATAGTGATAAATTGCCAAACCAACCTCTGCAAGAACAATGCCCCACTATAGAATCAAACCTCCATCCCTGCAGTGCTGAGAACCTGTTCTCTGTAAAATGGTTCAGCTCCACCTTTTGAGCAAGGACATTATGTTCCTCAATGATTTTCGATGCCAAAATGTGGGAAAAGCAACGATATATATATATATACACATGCTGAGGTTGATTCTACAGAGAAGTGGGGAAACTATGAAGGTAAGAGGTTGATTACGATTGTATAGAGACATGCTTGGAAACTGCAGACTCGAAATTCAGCTTAGAAGAAGGTCAAAAAAAGATTCTATAGAGGGATTGTTGGACAATTGAAATCTAGCATCCCAACATTCACCGGAAACCGCATGAGATATCAACCTATCTGACCTCACAACACACCATCCACTCTGAAATGAGTTCTCAGCCTTCTGCTACTCCAAATGCTGTCTATACAATCAAAGTTGTAACCTCTATACAATCTGGTGCATTTTCATGCCTTCTCCATACAATGGAATGGCTCAACCTATTGGGCATCATAAAAAACCAACCAGTTTTTAAGGCTATAATAGGCTATAGTTTTTTCCAAGTAGGTTGATACCTCATTCTAGAGATAATCTGGCATTTCAATTCTGACGGTCATTTTGAAATTTTCAGATTGACCTCTCAGATTCTATAGGGTTTATTCGGCAGGGGATTACATAAACGGAGAGGGAGAGGGAGAGAGAGAGAGGGAGGAGAGGTGAACATTTTCATCTATATAAACTATATAAACCTTCTGAGGTGCCATAGTGAAGTGCCAGCTAAATGGTCTCATTCATCTGTCGATCAAAACCGTCAGACCCTTCAGCAAAAACCGTCCGGTTCTTCGACCGTCCGGATGGCAGGCAATCATGGCAAATCATGCAACCCCTGCAATATCCCCCACCAAAAGCATGTTTGGTTTCTGGTGGAGCCTAGGTCCTTAGGTGGCACAAAGAAGACACATGTAGGGTCCTGTTCGTCCAAAGCACTAAACTCAATAGACATGAGACCAATGGTCAACGACCCAACCGAGTGTCGGAGAGATTGGCTGCATCGCATTCCTCTGGGCTGAAAAGACCTTGCCCGAAGGTTGTCTTCTTGGTGACTTCCATCACGATATCATGAAGAAACCTCCGCAGCAAGGCTGTGAACACGCTCTCAAAATCTATGGCATCCGACGTCCCTTACGACCACAGTGGCAGCGTATGCGTGAGCGACACTTACGCCAAGGAATTGTGGCACTGGACCACGAACGCAGCTTACGCGCGATCTGTTCTCCAGGCAGAGTGCACAAAGCATGTCCAGCAAAGACATCTGGCAGAAAGGATTGGCACTTGGCAAGCACTGAGTCGTGCAAAAATATGTTGCATCCTGCGAATTCGGCAGTGAGTGGCAAAGCGTTCATAAATGGCTTGGACAGTGCGTTGCCTTTGGCGGCATTGCAATTCGGAAAGCTTTTTGGAGGCGTTTCACAAAGCAAAACAGGCGTCTACGCCGGGCGGAAACACAGAGCTTATGCGTCACTGACCGTGGATTTCCGGCACCAAAATCCTGATGGATTGTTCTTCAGTTCTGCACATCGTCGAAGAATATTCAAGCAGCCGGTCAAAAACAAACCCTACATTCATGTTTCAATGGCGTATGTATGAATCAAGTAATCAAGTCTGTCTGCAATATCTACATGTAAATCTATGTAAATGAAATGTGATATGACATGCGCAGCTTGCGCAACTCCTATCTCCAACCGATAGCTGACGCAACTTTAAAACACGCCAGGGTTTTGCTCATGCGAAGCGTTCATTTCATATGACGACCGCACAACTAAACCTGACGGGGAGGTTTAACGCTCACATGTCTTCCTTTGAGTGCCGGTGTAAGTCACAAGAAGTCAGGTTGCACCTGACGACGTTGCTAAGAGCAAGAACCACTGAACAACACCCACAGCCAGCAGCTAGCAGCAGCTAGCAGTCCAACCTGAATGGAGGCTTTTTCAAGTACTTCTCAGTCATTTTGGGCTTCGTGATGAGAGTCCCGATCGTCTCTTGGGTGGCCGTAACATATTCATCCTCTGCCATCTTGAAGCACAAATGTCGCCTCGGCCACGTCTCGGGGAGACTGCCCGTCACACAGATGCTTTCCTGATCCAGTTGACTTTGTTTGTCATTGATCGAGCACGACTGTTTTTCAGCTTAGATCCATGTCTCCCACTTCAGAGCTTTTTGCGGTCAACCATTCCACACTTGGGAATTGAATAAGCTTGGCAAGGATTGGGATGGAGCCCCAGCTGTGTCTTTTGGAATGCACAGTGACGTCGCAAAATATGTTGTTCCCAAATCTGGTGGTCAGTCTTATTTATGAAGTTCAAAAACCACTGGTTTGAGCCCCGGACCCTTGATCACGTGCCTCAGGACAGGGGAAAGCATTCCCTTTGAGCCAGCAGCAGCGGTGACAATGAATGACAATGAAATGCATGCATCAATATGTGAACAGATTCCTTGCTCTTTCAAGTGACCTCTCTTCATCCGATCCCGGCTTGAGGTCTCTTCAATTTGGTCTCTGAAACGGGCCACAACCAAGAACTCCGGTGAAGAAGCTGAACCGTCCACGTTCGCGTCTCCCGGTCCCTCGGTCCTAGGAACCTCCGGCGGGGTGACCGTCACCACTGGCTGGGTGAGTGGCGCCGCGACACTCGGAGGCGCCTGGCGGTACTGGGGCAGGAATTGGTACTGATCTGTGCAAGTTCCTCGAAGTGGTGGTGACAGCCACTGCACCGTGCGAGCTGATCCACCCCCCTCCCCCGGTCCCGTCCTGGTCCGGTCACCTAGCCTAGCTGAAGTGGTGAGTTCAATTCGCAGAAATCGGCCGTTTCTCTGGGGGAGCTGCTATGTCCAGGCAGCCTGGGGGATTTGCAATGGGGAATTTGAAGATCGCATGTTTGGATCTGAAAGTCGGCCACATCTGTGCCAGAACCCTTCGATAGAAAAGGAACAAGCACCAAACTCATCACCCTGAAACCTCCTTTGAGTGATCGATGTTTATTAAAACTTCCAACTGTGATCCAGGCAGGTTGAAATCCGTTAGCAAACATAATTTACAGCAATTTACATGAAGTGACACAGCTTTCCTCTACAAACTTGCGAGTCTGGCTTTGCGCTGATTTGGGCTTCCAACTTCATTTGTGCCGCAAGCGGCCAACAGTACAAAGCACCACCGGCATCCACCGGCAACAGCCCCTGCCTCTGTCTGGATAGGGAGCGACGCGTGCCGTGCCTGCGTCTCCTCGTTCTGGCCTGGGGTGCCGCCGCCCTTTCGCCACGCTTGCGAAGGCAGCACAGATGCGAACGGAGCTTCCATGAGCTCACCCCGTCCTCATCGTTCAAACATGTTCAAACAAACGCCCTGGGGAAAGACTCCCTGACTCACAGCCAGTTGGATTCAATTGGTTGCATATCCACACCAGTACCAACATAGCACCCCGAGCGCAAGCTACCCTCCAGACTCCAAACTGCTCCTCGGTGACCAAAATCAGGGTGCCTTGGAAAACCCATGGCCAGAACCCACAGAAAGTCCCCCCGTCAGTGCATATAGTGACTATAGTGCTTTGTTTTGGTCCCATCTTAGGAAATTCATGGAAATTCCCCATGAAGAGTCCAGCTAGGAACCCTCCAAAAGCCTCGCCTTGGAGTCTCGGAGGACTCTGAGATTCGGTGCGTCCCTCGGTGCTCGGTGCATCGCCCCCCCTCCATCGCTCCTCTTTCGCCTCGCCGGGGGGTCGGCGAAGTCGTCGGCACAGGCGCTCATGGCCAACTGCAACGAAGGCCTTGCCGCTGGAAAAGCCCTTTGGGCTCCAGCTGCTTTGGTGATTGAAGAACTGCCTCCAGCTCGTTCGGTCGAACCCCAAAAGAACACGAAAAAAATTTTTTCCTGCATGTTTGTGTCCCAAAGTTTGTCCTCCTGCATGTTGCAAGAAGTGGCAAGTTCATTCCTACAAGGAAAGCTACCAATGTCAAAGACATTTTGTCGGGCTTGGATGCTTTGAAGCGGCAGTTGCTTCTTTGCAGAGTCTTTCAAGGAAATGCTGCGTGCGTGTCAAAATGTCGTTTGAAAAGCACGTGGCAGCCACCAGGCAGTGCAGGCGTTGACGCCTTCGTTCGGTTACTCTCTCATGAGCTGACCCAGTTTGAACCTAAGACCTTCAAATCCAATCAGTCTTGGTTTGACAGAAAAGCCAAGGCCTGGTTGCGACAACATGCGGATTTGGTTGCAGTTGTGGATTGCGACAAAGGGCTCGGAGATTGTTTAGTTCTTCGGTCATGGCTTGTTGAACAAGTTCAACTTCAATTGGCTCAGGGATATGTACAGTTGAGTCCGGTGGAGTTGCAAAAGAAAGTTGCTGAGCTAAAGTTCGGCGCTGATGCCATGGTGCAGTTTTTCTTTTCTTCTGGTGTGCTTTCTTTGGCTGAGCGGGATTTTCTACTCAGCAAGTTTCAAGTAAGTGCTGTTGGAATCTTCCGCATTTTAGTTAAGGTGCACAAGCAACCAGTTTCTTCCAGGCCAATTTGCAATGTACGTAACAGTTGGTATGGACCTTTTTCAACTTTTTTGGTGGAGCGTTTGGGGCCACTTATGCCTCAGTTGGACTCTGTCATTGTTTCTTCAGACCAACTTTTGCAGCAGCTGAAACCGCTTCGGTGTGATGCCGCTATGAGATTTGTCACGCTTGACATTGTTAACCTGTATCCTTCGGTGGATAGGAAGCATTTGATGTCTATTGTGGGCCCTTTTGTGAGGCAATCATTTAACCATTCAGCGTTGGGAGACTTCATTGTCAAAGCTTTGGAGTTGGTGCTGGAAGCTTGCGTTGTTTCTTTTCAAGGGCTTCTTTTTGAGGCGCAAGATGGCATTCCAACAGGTTTGTCAGTTGCTGGCATTCTCGCAAACATTTACTTATGGCACTTTGACCGATACATGTCACGAATGTGTGGCTGCGATTTGCAGATCCTCAGAAGGTACATTGATGATCTTTTGCTTCTGTGGGCTGGTGACGTGCAAAGTCTGGTTGAAAAGGCGGAAGGTTGGCATCCTTCGTTGAAGTTTCAGGTTTCTGGTGAAATGGAAGTTCCCTTTTTGGACTTTCACCTCAGCATTCTGCTCAATCGCCGTGTGCATTGGAAGCTGTTTGAGAAACCCCAGAACCTGTATCTTTATGTGCCGGCTTTTTCGAATCACCCTGCCAGTACTTTTGCAAGCCTGCAGTTAGGAGGAGCGATTAGATGTGAAAGGCGGAACCGCCTTTTTTCTGACTATGCTGCAAGCATTCGGTCTTTCAGACGTCGTTTGAAAGATAGGGGCTTTGACCTTGCTGGCTTTGATCGTTTGTTAGCTCGTTACAGAGCAAAGCGGATGAGAAGGCATGCTGCACCTGGTTTGGTACGGAAAGCCTTTTTGAAGCTGCCATACAACAAAGACATTTCTGCCAGTTGGGTTTCTCAAAAGCTCCGACAATTTGAGCCATTGCTGCGCCAAAGTGTTCCAGCATTGAAACTCACCACAAGCTGGAGCGTTGGGCGCAGCTTGTTCCAAAGTCGGTACAAGCAAGTTTGGAAATTTTTGGTCTAAGGGTTTGGCTGTGGGAGGGACCAAAAAATTTTTTCATGTCCAGTTTGCACTTGCCTAGGTTATTGAATGCGCGATGCCTAGGCATGTGATTGATCACCGCAGCATTTGCGGCTGCAAAGCCCTGAAGAGTCCCAAGGGGGACGAAAGCTAGGCATTTAATACCTTGCTGCAGTCGTAGAAAAGCTGCGTTGGGCTTGAGCGACCTGTTCTAAAGTTGTGTTTTGGGCTCCAGCTGCTTTGGTGATTGAAGAACTGCCTCCAGCTCGTTCGGTCGAACCCCAAAAGAACACTGAAGGCCTGGAGACGCAGCACAAGCGGCTCGAAAAGCAACAAATGGTTCAAACGGATACGCATGGAGGTTCCGCTTGTCTGTTTTTGCTTGTCGAACTGCATTCAGTGATTCCTCATCTACCATGCATGAAGTTAGGACTGCTACTGGCTCCAAGCACCATGCATGTTAATGTTGTTGACATGGACTACAGCGTTGCATGGACTACAGCCCTGCTTGGCATTTTGGGGACTCGGTTGCCAGGTGCTTGGTGCATCGGTGCACTTGCACCCATCAAGCACTGCGCACACTTGCCATGTAGCCAGGTGGCACAGCTGGCCCCCGACCACTACATCCGTACAAGAACCGATCTCGCACAGTTCGAATCTCTTCTGGGAGTCGATCAAAAAGGAAGGCCTGCAGCTTTTCATGTGGCTCCACATGTTCATCCTTGGATCTGGGGATCTGGAAAACACAAGTGCATGCAAATATGTAACTATAACCCAACATAACGTAACAAGATCCAACAAGATATTATATATACCCTATTAGTGGTTTGCAGTAGGGCCAGGGACAGCACACACATCAAGCCGGGCATCGCAGTAGGGGGGTTGCGAATAGGCATGGATCCCGATCCGGCCAATGGCATCCACAAACGCCTCCCGTGACAGGAAGCCATAGTTGCCTTGGTGAAACAAGTGCGTCTCCAAGATCTACATAATTGAAACAAAGAACAAACATGGAAATGGAACAAACTCAGCACACATAGTCACACCGAACCCATTTTTCTCGATTGCTTGCTTGGAAATACCCACGCCGCTGCACCACCGGTTTCATACAGGAATTCAGCTACACCACAGAGCAAATCAACGCTCGAAGGCTTCAACCAAGCTCAACAAAAACTGAACTGAACCTCATATGTATCACAGCCTCAGCCAACAACCGTAATTGGGACCCGATCCAGCAAAGAAACTCTCTAGGCTTGGAAGGGCAGGGTATTGACTTAAGAATGTGCGAATGCAAAGAACAAGTTTCCTGTGCCAGGCCACGACACCAAAATGGCCTGGCACAGGAAATGCCTTGTCCTTTAGTGTCCGTCGCTGTGTCTGTACTATCAACGATCCCCCTACGCTTCGATGATTGATCCTTGGACAGAACAGAACACCTACCAGGACCTACCAACATCTGCAGGAATCTGCAGGGGTTCATGTGATTTGTGGGCAAAATATGTTGATCGCAAAGGCAAGTGTCTGCCCTGATGAGCGCTTTGCAGGCCCGCACTCTGTGCTCGCTTGAAGATCCTGACCACCGCCTGCCGGCTAATGACCTCTGGCATGATCTTCAGCTCCTGTGGAACTTGAGTGAGACTTTGTATAACACGACTGCAGCTCAACTCGGGTCATCATTCGTAAGCCTTAGAAGGTATATGCAGTGCCAGTGTTGGTATCAACTGCCAATTGCTGATTGCGTTGCAGATCGTTTATGGCAGTGGCAGGTCTGCTGGATTCCCAAGGAACCAACTTGTTTATTTAATAACATGTTTAATATCATCCAATCATGATTTTAAAGTCCTAGCCAAGGGCGTCCCAGCACGTATGCGTGATGCATAAAAAATATATAGGATTAGCTTATACACTCCCTTTGTGACTTGCAGTGGAGGCTGGGGGCATTTGCGCGCCTTGCACAATGAAAAAAGCTGCTCCAAAGATAGGAAGCTCTGACGGTTCTTCATCGTCGGACTTCCAGAAGCATAGCCTCAGCCAAAACCAAACATTGCCTCTAGCAACACCAAGCCCAAGACCCCCATGGCCAACACTATTTTCAAAAATAAGTGTGTGTATTGAAGCAGGGGCAACCCCCGACCCATGAGTTTTGGTCTGTTTTCATTCTTCCAGGTGGTCGAACTGGGATGTCCACCTATTCTAGCACATACAGAAGCCACCTGCTTCTTGGTGTCCGATCTCATCCCCCTAAAGTCCTCAAGTTACTTCGGTGTGTGCCTGCATTGCAACTTCTACGGCACCTTAGAGGCTCCAGGTCAGAGTGTTTTGTGCTCTTTTGTGTTCCAAAGCAGCTGACCCAAGTCTCTATTTATATTGTACTTAAGTCGAACCAAATCACCCAAGTTTTTGGAACATGGTGACCAAAGGCTCTGGATCTACACCTGTCTCTTGAGGGTCTCTTCAGGTGACATGCATGGGCAAACATGTGACTCAAATATGCTCAAACGGCCTGCACATGTTCCCACAATGACTAAACAGTTCGTGCGTTCAGATGGGAATCCATTCCAAGAATATTGTGGGCCCAGAAATGCTGGAAAACACAACTCCGCACGTCCAGCTGAAAGCCACTTTCCAAAGTGCTAAATCACCCAAGCTTAATGCTTTCCCAGAACATAAGCTA